GCCATAACGGCTAAATTGGTTGTTTTGACAGTTTTGCCCCTAAAAATGGTCAAAAACGGCTATTTTGTGAGGGTTTTTTGGTCATTTGCCTAGGAGTCTGCCTCTATAAATAGAGAGGGGTTTTTACTTCTTCTCCTCACACCAAAACTCATCTACTTCTCTCTAATACTCTCTTATACAATCTTATACTGTCTTATACTCTAGTAATCTCTTATACTTTATAATCCTTCCATCAAATGGCTTCTAAATCTGTTATAAAGAGCAAAACCTATCTCCTACCGATCTTGAAATGAGTCCTCTTACAACAGCTACTCCTACCGATCCTACCGGTGTTAATCCCGAACCCGGTGGCGACGAATCTGCACCAAGAGTTCCTAAAAGGCTGAGATCCGATGTGTGAAATTTTTTTGAGAAGATAAACGTCATCAAGGATGAACATAGTAGGATCATCACCCAGAAGACTAAATGTGTGTTGTGCGGCCAGACTTTCCACGCTCATCATAAGAGCGACACCAACCACCTCAAACGACATATAGAAAAACACAACAAATGCCAGAATCCTCAAGGTGATATCCGATAATCTATGATTTCACAATCCTCCTCTTCTGATAATATCGGTAGTTAGAATTATGATGCTGCCTGAGCCAGGAAATACGTAACCAGGTTTATCATTCTTAAAAACCTTCATTTTAAATTAGTAGAAGATGATGGATTTGAAGATATGTTTAGAGATGGTTTTTATTCCGTATTTACAAAATTTTCTCGTCAAACCTGTCAACATGATATTTTAAAACATTATCAGGAGGAACAATAAAAAATAATTTCTTATTTTAAAATTTTAAACTATAGATTTTCTTTAACTTCTGATACTTGGATATCTAGAGCACAAACTTGTTATTTATGTATCACAACACACTGGATTGATGAAAATTAGCAAATATTTAAAAGAGTTGTTTCCTTTATTACAATTGAAGAGTCATATACTGGTATTAATATTACAAATTTAATAATTGAAGAGCTTATGAAACTAAAAATTGATCAAAGAATATTTTCTCTTTCACTAGATAATGCAAGTAATAACAATGTAGCTGTTGATTTTATCAAAATAACTCTGTCATTGCCATATCATGATGATCTTTTTCATATTAGATGTATCAAAATAACTCTGTCATTGCCATATCATGATGATCTTTTTCATATTAGATGTATCTGTCATATTTTAAATTTAATTGTTCAAAGTGCATTTACTAAAATTAAACCCATGATAGAAAATGTTAGAACAATTGCTAGTATGCATAATGCTTTTGAACAAAGAATTAAAAGATAAAAATAATTTTACAAAAGAAAAAATTATAAGCCTAGATTAATTCCAAACAATATTGATCATAGGTGGAATTCCACCTATGCAATGTTAAGTATGACAATAGAATATAAAAAAATTATAAATAATTTTATAAATTATTATGCTTCTAGTTCTCTGGTAGCACTTATGGAATAACTAAAGATGAATGAACAATTATATGTAATTTAAATGAGATTTTATAAGTTTTTTATGATGCTACAATATTATTATCTGGCTGTTATTATCCAAGTATTACTTTAGCTGCTTTACAAATTTTAAATATTCAAAAAAAAATACCAAATATCGGATGAATGATACTTTTTGGATCTATAATTTTTCAAAAGAGAGCAAATTTAATAAGTATTTTAGGTCTATTCCTCATATTTTTGGTTTGGGGGTTCTTATTGATCCATGTTTGAAGGATATTAGCCTTCAAAATTTATTACAATCATTGTATGGTGGATAGATTATAGACTGATGGAGCCACCTTATGTTACTTCTCATCATTTAGCTATTAGAAATTATTTCCAAACCTTATATGATGATTATGCAGCTAGATATGGTGTAGCTGCATAACAGTCTACAGCTTCGGCACCTTCGAGCCGAAGTAAAAGTGTAAGTTTTAATAGGTATGCAATGGTAGCTGAGCTAACTGGTGGATCTGGACTTAGATCATCATTAGAGATTTCTGAAATAGATGAATATTTATCTGCTTCTTTAGTTAAATATCAAGGAAATGCTTTAGATATTTTACAATGGTGGAGAGTATATGGATCAGTTTCATATCCTATACTTTCCACCATAGTTCATGACTTACTAACAGTGCATGTTTCGATGGTAGCTTCGGAATTCGCCTTTAGCACAGCAGGACGTTTGATCGACGACCACATGACGTGCTTAGATCTGTATACTATACAAGCGGTGATGTGCTTACACGATTAGTGGAGGTACGAGAAGCGAATATAAGACATCGATCGGATGGCTGGAATTGAAGATAAATTTGAAGAGTTGAGACTAACAGTAGATATAAAGATTAAACAATATTCATCAAATTATAATTTTTAATTCTTAGCTTTAAATTTATAATGAATTATTTTGAAAACAGTTACAAATGATAGTGATATAGGTGAGTAGGTGTCAACCTAGTTGGGATGTACTCATCTATTGTGATGCGACAAAATAAACTATACTTGTAAATGATTTACTGATTATTAATAAAGAAGTTGTTTTCATCATCTTTTATTTTTATAATTTTTTGTATTTGTAATTTATGTCATTTTAAGTTATTAATAATATTATTGTTTTTTATTAGCATTTTCTGTAATTTTTTATGTATATTTTAAAATTTAAAGAGATTTTTAAAAAATTAAAAAAATCCGGGCCGGCCCGGAGCCCGGCTCGCTCAGGCCCGGGCCTGGGCCGGGGCTTCGGTTTTGCCCAGCTCGGGCCCGATTTTCCGGACCGACCCGAATGGACAGGCCTAATCGTACTTATCATTAAATCTTGTTTTCCAAGCATTGTTGTTATATACTAGAGTTTAAGTAAAATACATTTGTATTTTGATCCTGTACAGATTTGGGTTTCGTTGAAAATACATCTTGCACATTTAGTTACTGGTGTGTTTGGGAATTTACTTAGGGAAGGGAAGGAAGGGAAAGGAAGGGGAAAAAATTCCCTTTCCCTTCCCTTCCCCTCCATTACACCCCAATTTTGGGGTGTAAGAATTTGGGTCAAATTTCCCCTTCATTCTCCTTCTCTACCCTTCTAAATGAAACTCCCAAACAAGGCTAAAATAAAATTTCTCTTTCCTTCACCCTCTCTACTCTCCATCCGAACAGGCAATACAAGTCATTACAAAATCTACTCGCCTATAAAGTAGATATAATTTAGACGCGAGCAAAACTCCTTCCTTCCAATTTCTCCCCGAACACCTCCTTACTCCTGATTCCCACCGGCTCTCAAGTGTGGATGTAATTCAGTAAAGACATAAAAATTGAGATTTAGTTGTATATGGTTGAATTGCATTTTCTTGTACTCGCATATAAAGCTAGGATTAGAGTACTTTAGGGCATCTCCAACCCATCGCACCAAAATGGTGCAAATTTTGCACCAAAATGGTGCAAAAGTCACATCTAACAGTAATTCATCTCCAACCCACTGCACCATTTTTTGCACCAAAAAAGAATATTCTCAGTATCTTTCTTTTTATCTACTTTTATATGATTATTTTTTATTCCCTATATTTTTAACTATTTCAACAATTAACCCCACATATCAAATTTTATTTTTTCACATATTTTCCAAACAAAATGATTTATTATTTAAAAATTAAACTAATAAAACAATAAAATATTATTTTATTAATTAAAATAACTTGATTGCTAAAATATTATATTTTTATTATTGATATTGCCAAAATATTACATTCAAGAACACAACAGAAAATAAAATACAAGAAAATAATTAAACATTAAAACAACAATGTAAAAATTACAAATTTAGTATGCACTTAACTATCTGAATTAGTGTATTCCTCCCATAGATGATCTATCAATGCATTACGAAGCGCAATATGGGCATCTTTATCCTTGATTTTTTCGTAACGTGCAATAAATTGAGTAAATCTTGTAGTTTCATCTGCTACCATATCAACTTCTGGTGTTGGTGCTTCCCTCACTTCTTGAATTGGTGCATAAAGATCACGTTCATCCTCGATTATCATATTGTGCATAATAATGCATGCAGTCATTATGTCATGTAATACATGTTTTTTCCAAAAACGTGCTGATCCTGCCACGATTGCAAATCGTGATTGGAGAACTCCGAACGCACGTTCTACATCTTTTCTACATGCTTCCTGTTTCATGGCAAAATATTTTTTCTTCCTACCTTGTGGCTGTTGGATTGTTTGTACAATAGTAGCCCATTTCGGATATATACCATCAGCTAAATAATAACCCATATTATACTCTTTTCCTTGAATAACATAGTGAGCGGGAGGAGCAATACCTTGAGCTAGGTTAGAGAAAAGATTAGATGACTCCAGCACATTGATATCATTATTGGTGCCTGGCATACCAAAATATGCGTGCCATATCCAAAGATCATAATCTGCCACAGCTTCGAGGATAATAGTTGGTGACCCACTACGTCCTGTGTATTGCCCAGACCATGCTGTTGGACAATTTTTCCATTTCCAATGCATACAATCAAGACTTCCTAACATTCCTGGAAAACCACGTTTTTTACCAATATAGAGTAGCCTAGCAATATCGTTAGCGTTAGGTGTTCGTAGATACCGCTGGGCGAATATTTCCACCATAGCACGACAAAATTTTGTCATACTTTCAATTGCTGTTGACTAACCTATTTTAACGTATTCGTCTGTAGCATCAGCTGGTAAATCGTATGCCAACATGCGAAAAACAGCTGTTACTTTCTGTAACGGTGATAATCCCATTCTACCAAGTCCATCACTTCGTTGTTGGAAGTAATAGTCATGATCTTTCACTGCATCAACAATACGAAGGAACAAACTTCTTGACATCCGATATCGACGACGAAACATATCTTCTCCAAAACGTGGATTATCGGCAAAGTAATCTATGACCAAATTCTGATGCGCATTTTCTCGATCGCGGTTGATCACTGCATGACCGGGAATCGAGCCACCATGGATCGGTTGGTAGTTGTGTTGACGTAAATTGTTAACGAGGATCATGTTGTTGTTGATGTACTCACAAATTACTTCTTCGGTTTCATCAATCTCTGCAATGATATTGGACAGAAAATTATCATCATCCGAAGATGAAGATGATGATAAGTATGATGGACCTCCAACATCGAAATTCATTTTTGAAGTAAGAAAAGAATGACTGAAGTATGCAGAAATGGAGAATAATAATTTTAACACAACAATGAGTAATTGTGTGGATGTACCTAATCTAGTATGCTATTTATAAAACTTTGCTTAGCTGTATACATTGAACAATGTGTAAAGTTGAGCTGATTTTAGGAAATGCTTTCCAGCTGTTATCAATTTGTCACAAAATTCAAATTTGCTTAGCTGTATACGTTGGACAATGTATAAAGCTGTCCTGATTTCAAAAAATGATTCCCACTCGTACAAAGCTTTCACACAATTCAAGAAAAGCTGAGCTGTGTATACGTTGGACAATGTGTAAAGCTGACCTGATTTCAAAAATTGATTCTCATTCGTACAAAACTTTCACACAATTCAAGGAAAGCTGAGCTGTGTATACGTTGGACAATGTGTAAAGCTGACCACAATTTCAAAAATTGATTCCCACCGACAACGTTGGATAATGTGTAAAGCTGACCTGATTTCAAAATTTGATTCCCACCGACAACGTTGGATAATGTGTAAAGCTGACCTGATTTCAAAAATTGATTCCCACCGTCAACGTTGGATAATGTGTAAAACTGATCAGTTTGTACAAAATGATTCAATTTCAAATGTTGACCACCGACAAATTCAAATTCAAATTCAAATTCAAAAAAAAAAAACAAAATTGGATTGGCTATAAATAACATTCACGAATTCTTCTTCAAACCACCCAATTCGAAGTATTTCTTCAAAGTATTTCTGATCTCCAAATCAACCACTTTTTACAAAAAAATGTCTGTTCGATCAAATGGATACACGGTTACTGAAGATGTGCTCCTTTGTCAAGTATTCTTGGATATTTCTCAAGACCCTATTATCGGTAGAAACCAGTCTCGAGATGCATTTTGGTCTCGTGTGGAGGACAAATACAATGAACTTCGAGATCAGCATTTTGAGATGCGTACGAGCCGATCAATTCGTTCTCGAATGGAAATCATAAGTAATGAAGTAAGGAAATTGAATGCGTGCTTGAGACAAGTAGAGAATCTGAATCCAAGTGGTGCTTCAGATGAAGATATTGTAAGTATTCTATTAATTATCGTTTGAATTTTATTATTATTGTTGAAATACATAACTTGATGTTCACTATAATTTGCAGTTAGTTCGAGCAAAGATGTTATTTATGCAAGAACCAAAGTACAAAAAAGGTTTCAAATTTGATCATGTCTGGAATATGGTTAAAAATTTCGAAAAATTCAAAGATGATGTCCCCACAGCAAGACAAGTTGGTCGAAGACAATCCCAAAGTGTGAACTTCGACTCGTCACAATCAGATAATCCCACTCTGGAATCTCCTATATCAACATCTCCTGGACTATCATCATTTACTCCATCTGAACGACCTATTGGGGTAAAAAAAGCTAAATTGAAAAGGAAAAATGATGATCATGAGTCAAGTGTAGTGGACTCCATCGAGACCTCCAGCAACCGACTTATAGACATGTTAGACAAGGCGAGCTTGGACAAGCAAGTAGCGTTTGATATCGAACGAGAAAAGATAGCCATGAAAAAAGATAGAGATGAATGAAAAATTATAATGAAAGATTTGAATTCCATTGCTGATCCAAACGTGCGTGAGTACGTTCGAGCTCAACAGATTAAAATAATACAAAAAAGAAATCAACAAGAACAAGGGTCTGCTTCTAATTTTGGCAATTATTTCAATGATATTGGACACGCTGGCCCCGATCTATCAGATTATTGAGAGTTGCTTGTCCATCTCAGGAAATGTTCCATGTTTAGTTTGTATTTTATGTTTTATTTTAATGAAGTTTTATATTATGCGTGTTAGTTTTTATATGTTATGTATTTCAGATATGTAATTTATATTTGAATTATGTATTAGGATTGCTCTTTATATTTCATGGGACTTTACTTAATATCTAGATTTTAATATTATAATTAATAATAATGTCTACAACAATTTTAGCATTATTTTTAATTTTAAAAAATAATTTATTTTGTCCAAATTATACAATTGGGGTGAAATTATAAAATTTAAATATTATTGGAGTTGTTTTATACATTTAATAAAACAATTAGGGTCAAATTGTAAATACATAAAAGTATAAGGTAAAATAAAAAAAAGAAAAATAAAAAAATAAAAACAAACAGTAATGGGGTGATGAACAGTGCGACGCCAAATATGGCGTCGCGCTGTTCATCACCGCTAAAATGCAGCGGGATTTGGCGTCTGGTTGGAGCTCGTCATCAGCGACATTTCCCCTTTTTGCGGCAAAATAACGCCCAATTGGAGATGGTCTTAGCGTATACCTTTCCTTGTTAGTTATCTAGCAAGAGGACGATTTGATAATTTAGACAGCCAACCTCTCGTAGGACGCGTGGTACTGACACGTATACACAAAAGCCCGCGAGATACAAAACGCTAAAAACCCAATCCCGAACCCTAATTGGTCCTCACCCGTCATTCTCGCTAAGTTATAGGGCTAGATCCGTAAATTCCTAAGCTCATCCCATCTTTAAAATCTCCAAAAGCGGGAGTCGTTCTGGAGTCCTATAACCAAGTCCTCACATCAGCAACGAGAGGGGGGAAAAGGAAATAAACATAAAAATTAGGGCTTAAGATTAGATCTCACCTGAGAAATTCGCCGGAAAATGACACCCGGCGTCCTCCGACCGGTCTCCGACGAGCAGAACCTCGAGAAGCATCTCGAGAGGCAAATGGGATGCATGGCTGGATTCTTTCAGATCTTCGATCGCCATCAGCTTATCTCTGGAAAAAGAATCTACGGCCCAAAACGAATCCCCTCATTTCCTGTAATCAATTTAAACTTTTTTTTTAACTAAAAAAAAAAAGCCTACATTTTGGTTGTTTCTGACCTATGACTGATGATTTCAGGCCACTGGATCGACCTCTCCATCGGAAAGATCCGATCTTTCTGCCATAGAGGCATCAGGCATGTTCCCATCCTCGCCGGAGAACTTGTCGGAGGCGCCTCCGGCGAAGTCCACCATTCCTCTTCCAGTGTTCGATTTCAAAGAGGGGATGAAGAGCTCGTGGAAGCTTCGAGAAGCTCCGAGGCTCTCCCTCGACAGCCGAGCCGCCTCCGTCCACGAGATATCCGCACAACTCCGGCGATATATTCATCGAACCAGTCGGATCCCGCTGATGCCGATTACGACAAGAATCGCCGCTCTCCGAGCGTCGTCGCAAGGCTCATGGGCCTCGAAGCTCTCCCTGATTCCAACGCCGACGGTGAATCGATCAAGAAGGCGGAGCTCCGGCGTTCTGCGTCTGAATCGCGAGTCTCGAGAGATCTGCAGCGATTCGTCGAAGGAAGCTTCTTCCAAAAGCCTCCGCCGCCTCAAGACTACTCAGGCGATGGATTTTACAAGTTCCGATCCGCTGATTTCAGATTGGAATCAAAGCAAACGCCGCCTCCAGCAAAACAATCGCAACCCGTCGCCATTCAACGAAGGAGCTACTACAACGCTCAGGACTTCTTCCCTGAGCCAAATCGGACGGGATCTCGATCTCTCTACGGCGAGATCGAGAAGCGGTTAAGAATGCGAGGGATCGACGAACCGGCCAAAGATTTAGAGACATTAAAGCAAATCCTAGAAGCTTTACAGCTCAAAGGGCTTCTCCATTCAAACTCTAAAGCCTCAAATCAGCAAAACGATCGCCCTATCGTCGTAATGAAGCCGATTCCGAGACCAGTAAGAAGATCGGAGAGCGAGCCTTCGAGATCAGCCGCCGGAAGAAGGAATCCTGTACGAAGCCCGAGTCCGAGATCCTCACCAGATCCGAATCCGAGAAGGAAACCGGGGAGCAATCATTTAAACGGGAGAAGTTCTCCTGTTAATTCCTTGCCTCGATCAAGTCCGAGGAGAACATCGCCGGATCTGGTCACCTCCCGATCGCCGAGAAATAGGGGATCAGTAAAAGAGAGGGTGTGCTCACCGGCGGAGGACGATACCGCTACTACGATTTCTGAGAGCAGCATCAGCTCATTTGATCTCGAGGTAAATTTTTTATCACTGTTTTTTTTCCGCCGGAAAGAAAGCTAAAATTGCTATTTTCTCAATATTTATTTATTTTTTCAGAGGACGAGGGTGGAGTATAGAGCGGGTCGGAGTTTGTTAGAGAGATGCGATAAGCTGCTCCACAACATAGCAGCATTTACCTCCCCGGAGCAACTTACCGCGACTGACCAGCAACCGAGCCCAGTCTCGGTTCTAGACTCTTCCTATCTTAACGAAGAGGGCTCGCCGTCTCCGGTCAAGAAGCGATCCATCGAGTTCAAAGGTACCCGTGCACGTTAGTTCAGCTCTTTTCCTACTGCTATATTACGCCTCTCGGTATCTTTGGTATCTAATCCCCTTGTTTTTTTAATGTTTAATCAGATCCGTTAGCGGAGTGGGAGGAAGATTGGGTTACCGGGTCTAGACCAGATTTCATGCCCGAATCCGAGTACGCGGATTTCGCTTACGTGGCCAACGTTCTGCAAGCTTATGACCGTTATCCTGCCACGTCATCCTCCGACGTGTTCCACTTCCTCGAGAAGCGTCGCAGCGCGACGGACTCATTGAACGGGTCGACGCTCCACCGCCGCCTCCTCTTCGACGCCGTCATTGAGATTCTGGTCCGCAAGAGACACGTGTCACCCTGGGAGTCGTTCTCGCGTCGCCGTCCGCTGTCTGGAGGGGCGCAGCTGATCAAGGACGTAACACGTCAGCGGAGATGTCGGATGCGGTGCTGAACATCGAGCGGCTGGTGTTTAAGGATCTTGTGGTGGAGATGATTCGGGATTTAGCGGATCTGGATATTGTTGGTAAGAAGATCCGAAACCCGCTTCCAAGGAGAAAGCTATTGTTTTGATAAAAAAATGAAACAAAATAAGACTTTCTTTATCTAAGGGTAGTTTCTTAACGGTTGAGATGGTGTTGTAACAAAATTAACAGTTTTTTTAACGGTTGTGATTGAGTATATTAATGGAGGAGTTCATTTTTCCGGATGTTAGTCTCTGATTACATTAGTCTCATATCATTGAAATTGTTAGAAGGTCCCTGAGCCTCGTATCTTGTTATTCTGGCAAATCTTGATCTTGCGGGTATGGAGACCCGAAACCCGAGGAGAAAATTGTTGTTTGAAAATACAAATTAAACTTTTATAGTTAATGCGAGGTTTACTTGTTGTTAACGGTTGGGATGTAGTTGTAATAAAATTAACGGTGAGAGGTTGGTCCGGGCATGGGGAAGTTGGTGAGGTGACTTACAGAGGTTGGTTTGTTTTCTTCGCGGTGAAGTGAGAATCTGGCTGGTAACTCATTTTTGCTTGTGTTTAAAGTTGCTGAAGCTCAAGCAACTTGAGAAGTTTGAGAAACATGGTCATGGGCTGCATACGTAGTGTCAATTTGCTTGCATATGATATAATCGTGGATGAGTATGAAAAATGTAAGACGCAAACATTTGAGAGGAATTTGGCCGCTCTTTTTTTTTTTTTTTCCTTTTCGGAGGAAGCGCATGGAGCCTATTTCACATGCCATCATTTGGGTTTGATGTTAATTACAATAATAAACTCTTTTTCAAGTACTTATGGGTCTATCAGTAGACGATCGTAAATTACTAAACTTTAAATATTGGTCAAATATGTAACATTTTGATTTCGTTAGGTTCACAAAAGATCAGATTAAAAAACCGACCGCCATTTAAATTCCCTCAAGAGCCAAAGGAATAAATTCGCGTACGGCGATTCTGGCTATAATCCTCTTGGCTTATGATTCACAAATCTATCTATATCTATTTATACTACCTATAAAAGAGAATTTGGGTGTCAAAACATTTGATTTTCTATTTTGTCCCTCCTAATATTTACAAGTCCCAAGTTTATTAAACAAAAAATGTTCATAATTAAAGAGTGTTTAATTACTTATAACTTTGTACATTAAATTGTGCACAATTGGTGGGTTTAGGGTAGATTAAATGTATGTTCAATTCATACACAACTTCTCACATTCTAATTCTAATCTAATCTTTTTTAAACGGTGATAATTCCATATAGCTATGCCTAGGAAGAGAATGCTCTAATCAAGTTTCATCTACATCCAAAAATTATTAGTTCAGAAATCCACCATGAAAGAAGTATAATAAGTTTACAAATTTATTAGGTGTAGAATATAATTGTCCTATAATTAACATAATTGTAAATATAATCTTCGCCTAATATTCATTACAAAAGTCATATTTCTTTTAATTTATGATATGATGTACCGCATCTCTATAACCTCACACTCAAAATCGTGGACAGCTATTGGCAAACACATTAATTAATACATGAACCCTCCACCACCACCACATTAATTTTAAGTCCCCTCAACTTCCCCTCTCTCTCAACCCAGTTCATGATCTAAGCTTCAATGACGTACTTGCTTCAATTTCAAGTGTTCTATTAATCACAACATTTTTTCCTATTTTAATTTGATTTGAGAATTCTACTAGAAATTTATTTCAATTAGTGATGTCTATAATTTGAAGGACAAAATTAGTCTGGCAATTGCTGAATTGCTATCTTATATTATTATTTAGTCCAGAACTGTTTTTCGGTTTTCCCCCTTCTTAATTTTTCATCAATCAATTTGTCAATGTTTGGAAGCTAATAACCTTTGCTGATTGTGTCACATTATAGATTCAGTCTATGTTACAGAATGTCAAGCCAAAATTGAGATGGAATATCACGCAGGGTGAATGTGAATATAAGGTTTGATTCCAAAAATTATGTTGTTCTTACTGTTTTCTCTAAATATTTATGCGATTGGTTTGTTCTCTTAGTCCAATTCATTTGTTTCAGCACTCGGTTCTATTTTATTTTTTTAATGGTGGTTTTAATTGGGTGTCGTATGCAATTTTGCCATGGGCTAGGTGACATGCATCTGCTACGCTAGAAAAGCTTCAAGTATATTTTTTAAACTTCAAAGTAAGAGCATCTCCAACCGCTTCCCTATTTTATTGGTATTCTTATTTTTAGAAAATTTTAGGCTTTTTTTTGTTCAACAGATTACTCATTCCATTCCCCAAAATATGGATGAAGAAGAAAAAAGGGGAGTCTTCCCCAAATCTGGGACATTCTTCAAATATTTAGGAAGAGCTTTATCATAAATACATCACGTTCTTCAAAACGAGATTGATGATGAAAAAATAAATATAAAATAAAATCCGTAATTACAAAAAAGCCATGTGGGCAGTTCCAACGCATAAGAGCATCCCAAAATAAGGATGTAGAATATTTTTATTATTGTAATAAATGCATGATTCTTCAAAATAGGGAAGCTGTTGGAGTTACAACAAAAATAATTTGAATATGACTTTTGTTTCCCTATTTTGGAGAAAGTTTTGGAGAAACTGTTGGAGATGCTTTAAGTATAGAGGCAGAGAAGGCAAATCAAAAAGGCATGCTCTTTGATTTGAGCACTATTTGGCGTGTAGAGTTTCTACTTGGACAATTTTTTAAATACAACCCTTTTACAAATTTAATAGGCAAAATCGACTTACTCCCATAAAAAACAGCAAAACCGACCCTTTTGGGTCTTGCTGCGGAACGTGACCCTCTCCCCTCAAACATCCCCTTGAATATAAAAATGAATCTCACCTTAGAAGCAGCAGCCAGTGCCATCTACCTCGATTCCGCTCGACATCGGGTAGAGGACGCCGAAACAGATCACCGTTGCCACCGCCGTGTCCACCGTGTGCCCTCCCTTCCTGAGCATCGACGCTCCAATCTCAGAGCAGGTCCCGTCGTCGTTCGCCACGACTCCGATCTCTGATTCAACTCTCTTCGAGCCTCCAGTGCTCCTCAATCTCCTCCCGTCGTCTCAATTGTCGATTTGGATCGCGAAGAACACGAATTCGATCTCGATTGTCGGAGCTTACTGATAATTACGACGGCGAACGAGATCCATCGTCCTCGGCGGTGGCGGAGGGGGGAGGAGGAGATCTCGGGAGGCGCAGATAGTGTAGGGGGGTAAATTCGAGATCGGCGTGCGCCGTCGCCGTTGCGCGGTGCAAGAAAGAAATCTGGGAGGGGGCTAATGATGGAATCTTGATTTGATTAGACTGGGTTTTTCATGGGGTTTTTTTCTGGCTGATAGTGAGCCCTAAGGTGAAAAAAGAGGGGGAAATTGGGTTCGTTTCCGCGTAGAGAAAGCGGGTTGGAGTTTAACATTTCTTCACAGGGTGACAGAGACTTTTTTTTCAGCTGTACGGGACCACTAGTCCCGGGCACTTTGTAAAACAGCTACAGTTGCAAAACCGACCCTTTTCATCATAAAAGGGTCGGTTTTGCTTATTAATTTTTACAACGGTCGTTTTTGCTTAATAAAATTTGAAAATGGGTGTTTTTAAAAATTTGTCCTTTCTACTTCACACACTGATCTCCTGGTTGATTTGTTGCAATATCGTGAAGAGAATCAATTTGTCTATTTTTTTTTCAAGTCTGGATTATTACTGTATCTAAAACTTGAGAGAAAGCTTGCTTTATTTTCTGTGCTGGTAGCATCAACTCATCAATAAGATTAATCAACTCTGTGGGCATATTTATAGTTGTTACGTACTTTTCTATAAACTTGTCGAGATACACTGATTTTTTGTTTATAGTATAATAGTAGGTTTGCTTGGAGATGGCTGCTTTATGATGGTTTATATTGGCAGCCTTTTTTATAGCTTTTATCTTATTTTGTGATCAATGGTAGGTTAGGAAGCTCTGTAGCTGTTATCTGGAGGGTGACGACTAGGGTCCGCTCTCATACGATAACATCTTCTTCGGTTCCTATCCTCACCTTTTGTTGCTTAGTCAGTTATTTGTTTTGTAAAATCTAAACTCTTTTTCTATATCAATATATATTTGAACAAGGTATCTCGCCCTGTTTTTCTGCTTCCAAAAAAAAGGTTAATCACCCATCAAAATTTTCTATGTATTTAGTCCGATTCACGTGAATTTTAAAAGCAGAAGGACGCTAGGAACAATAATATTTTATGGTAGTGTAGAATTAAAAAACCAATAGCTAAACTCTTAACACAAATGATCCAGCTCTAGAAAATCCAAATTTTTTAAGGAAACAGAAAAATCAAAATTAGGACCCTACATTTCCAATATTTTATGCTATTCGCCAACACTGACGGTTGGATACCAAACATGTTTAAATAATAATAGGAGTATAAGCCTAAATAGTTACTTTTTTCTATTAATATAATAAAATATAAAATTAAATACAGATTTTTCTCTTTCCTATTATCAACGGTTCCTTCTTATCATCCAGTACCAAACAAAAATCTTTATTTTTTCCAACTTCCAATGCTTTTCTTAGAGCATCTCCAACAGCTTCTCCAAAAATTTCTCCAAAATGGGGAATCAAATGTCATATTCCCCAAATTATTTTTGCTCCAACTCCAACAGCTTCCCCATTTTGAAGAATCATGCATTTATTACAATAATAAAAATATTCTATATCTTTGACTAATAAATAATAAATTATTTTTTATTTAAAACTTTGAAATAACGGCTAGTTTCCAACGGCTAGTTTCTAACGGCTAATTTACAACGGCTAATTTACACAAGTCTTTGAAGATAATGAAGATAACAATGGGGTGCACCTTATCTGCCTCTGTGTATCCACTTTTCCGCAAGTGTTCAACTGCAGCATAATGTCCACAAAACCTACTCACACTGAAACTTATTTTTGACCAGCGGTTCGTCAGTGATTTTTCAGTTCGTTCATCCGACCAACTCTTATGATCTTCAAAGTATCGAGTAATTCTTTTCCAGAATTGGTTCTTCTTTTGATCAGATCCTTTGATTGGATTTGGAAAAGGTTGGTGTCTTCTCTTGGGGCAAAGACGAACCCGAAATGGGAGAGGAAGAATTTTATATTCTATCTCCCAACACTGAAGAAGAAGAATTTTATATTCTATCTTCAGCTGGAAAGGAGACTCAAGGTGGGATCTCCACCCCCAGAATCCGGAA